TACAAAGGATAGATTTAGCAGGGTTAACTTGTATGTTAGCCATGTTGTAGAATGATTGGGCAGTAGAGAGAATTTGTAATAGTTCATTTTGTGAGGAGGCTAGCCAGAGAGTATCATCCATATAGGCAGGACTGAGCATCTAGTGTCATGCCGATGATCAACACCCCTTGTATTGGTATTGCTAGGGTTAGGTACGATCACAGGTCACCCGATCGTAACTGGGTAATGACAATGGCGTGATCGTTGATGCATGAATTTAATTTATAGTCTATTTGTAAGTACTGCATAATGCATGTAACCAGGTAATTAAGTACCCGGATTGATAATCTAATAAAAGCGTATCGATTCCAAAGGAATCGATAATAAGTCTTTAGCTTAGTGAAAAACATTCTGAAAGGAAAAACTGTGTGGTCAACATCGTAGTAATATTGGTGGAAGACTTGGTACGATACGCCAGTGCCAAGTAAGTGCATGACAGAAGGACCTGGGCAAGTAACAGCCTTACTTGCCGAATCTCGTTGGATTTCGTACTATGTGAATGACAAGGAAAAAACTAGGCAGACAAAGGTTCTACTTGCTAAAGTCCATTGAAATTCGTGTAATCTCAAGCGACAAGTGACGTTAGCATAAGAGAACATTGTTAGTACAAAGTAAAGGAACAAAACAAGGATATTAATCAAAGAACCAAACAAGTACTTACCTGCTTGGTCGTACATTGTGAAAAACGAGAGTATCTTGGGTGTGTGTGCCAAGTACTTTTATAAGGGCCCTAGGAATAATAACAATAGCATAAGCCAGGGCCGGCTCCTGTATATAAAAAAAAAAAAAAAAACAAACATTACCGGAGTGGTGAATTCGAAGAGGATGGAAGGTGAAAATCGTTTGATGTCATTAGTTGAAAGCATGATCGGATTAGTTGTTGAAGTGGTGAAGAGTTTGAAGAAACAAAAGATAAAAGAAAAATGCTACAGACCTCGGCTATGTTACGTTTGTAGACGTCAAGGACATTTGGCCCGCTCTTGCCCAGATCAAGCAAAAGGTGAACGTCAGAAAAACGTTATGGATGTATGGTTCATGAAAATCATTGATCTTGAAGTTAACAATTATGAAAATGAAGATCGAATCAGAAATGATAAGAAGAAAAGAATCGATAATAGGATATTTAAGAACAGAGCGACGCAAATAAAGAATGGTGCCATACCTGTAAAGTCCATTGAAAAAGGGGTTGAAGCGAATAAACTGAAAGATGCTAGAGTTGATATCAATACGAATGAATATAAGGCGTTCGTTTATCAGCACAAATCTGAAAATGAAGGCAACATTAATGAAATTGGAGTCAAAACAAATGAACTTAAGGTTTTCGACAATTACCATGAATCTCTGGATATAGAAGAAGCTGAAATAACACATGATGTTAATGGTTCTAAGCATGAAGAAGACTTTCGAAAATCTGCTGATGAAAATGTAGCCGACTCAGATGAAAAAAACATTGAATTAAAAGAAGCTAGCTCAGATGATAGAGCTAAACCTGATGATAAAGTTGTGAATAATGGAATAATAATAAGAAGAGGGATGAATTATGCGAAGTTGATCGGATACAAAGCCAAAATCGAGTGGAATTGATGAAAAACGCGAAAATCTTGTGATGACTGGAATCTGGAACAAATATTGAATGTATTGGATCAAGTTAGAAAAGGAGGATTCTACGATCGTATATACTTGGATTATATAATCGGCTGTGATGGTGTAGAGCATGCGATATTTGGAAATCGAATTGACATGCGTTGTGTATGAAATGTTAGTGAAAAAAAAAAAAAAAAAAATTTTGTGTTAGTGTATGTGTTAATTGAACGATATATTGCATTATTAGAGTATTAGTATATAGGTTGTTAGTAATGTTGGGTATT